AAGTTTGGTGTTCTATCCACTAGGCCATGCTGCCTTACTACATAAGATACTAACCTTTCATTCAGATATGTCCTCAATGATGTCTTTCATCCTACTTTTCCTGAGCAGATTATCATTGGTAAAATTCTATAGTCTACTTACATCCACCATATGTCCCTCCACTGCCTTTTAGTTCCCTGGATTTTGGATTCTTCTGAGATAGTAACGTTCCATTATTCATAGTAGTACATTCATGTAGTACATTCATGTAGTACAATCAGGGGAGTATCAATATTATAAAATACCTGTGCTTTTTTGACACAGAGTAGCTTTCTGGTTCAGTGGGATACTGATTTAGTGAGTGAAGGACATGCAATACCTGCCCTCTATGTGCTTGCAATCCCGTGGAGGCATAAGCTCTGACCACATCACTCTCCTACTCAAAAAGCATTATCTCTTTACTGCTTCTGAGATAAAGTACAAATTCCTTAGCTTGATATTAGAGACCTGCTACACTCTGGTTCACATCTACATTTCCAGTCTCATTTTATATTCTTCTTTTTCACATATACTGTGTTCTGGCCAAATGATGCAGGAAAGTAGACTCACTTCCACTTCCCAACCTAAAGCTGCTAATAGTGATTTTCAGTAGACACTAAGTCAGAGCAAATAGTGGTGGGTAGTGAAAAATGAGGCGGGACCAAGTGGCCACATGTCTGATATCCCACTTCAGGAAGTTCTCAAAGAATTTGTTTACTGTGATGCTTCCAGCATCTGTCTACCTACATAGTAATCCTTGTCTCCCACTGCCAGATGAACCTTTGGCTCCAACAAAATTGGTTCATCAACCAGACCTGGGTTATCTTACCTTTGCACCTTTGTTCCTGCCCTTTCCTTCCCTGGAATACTATGCTTTCCTTCAATTCAATTAAATTCAGTAGGTATTTACCAAATGCATAACATTGTACGTGCAACAACAATAACAATTGCACATGTAATATGTGCAAGGCACTGCACTAAATGCTTGGCATACAAACAAAAGCATGAGTCTCTACTCTCAAGGAGTTTACATTCTGCTGAAGGGAGTGAGAGATATGACATGTACACATATAAGTATAAACAATGCAGGGAATAAAGGAGTAAAGGAGGAATTCAGACAAAGTACCCTAGAGAATTAGATGAGGCAGAAAAAAGCTTTCAGCTTGAGGATGTGGGGAAGACTTTAGAGAAGAAATAACACCTGAGCTAAGCTTTGAAGAAGACAAAGGTTTTGAAAGGTAGAGGTGAGCTGGAAGTATGTTCCAGGCTTTTATGAATACACTGAAGTAGGAGATGGATTACCAAGGTCAGGATTCAGCTCATGACACTTGCTCAAATCACTAATGTAATGCTGGCCACCTCATAGATATACCCATTTCCCATTTCAGCACCTCAGGTGTCTACTCTAACTTCCTTCTTCCTCTTTCCTACAAACCCAAAGGATGGGGCAGGGTAAAATCAAAGGCCAAGTCCTCCCAAGCCTGTCCAAAGGTCAGGATAAGACTGTCTGAAGAAAGGATTAAGTAGGAGAATATTGGTGATTTCCACACCAAAGCAGTAGGCCTCCATCTCTCTTGTCCTCATCTCCTTGTCAATATCCGGAAAAAGCATGGCCAATCAAGGCTACAAATCAACTATACATTGTTATAATGTTAGCACATAATGTGCTTCACAACCCAGCCTCATTCTACCTACCCTACCCTATTATATATACCTTACTCACCTTCACTCGTTATACAGTCCAGTCAAACTGTCCTTGTTTGATTTCTCACAAAGAACAAGATTTTCTCAGCACCTTTGCATTGGCTGTCTTTCATTCCACATTCCACACTTCTTCCTTGCTTAAGCCTCTTGGAATCCCTGAATTCCTTCAGGGTTTAGCTCAAACGCCACTTTCTGCTTGAGGCCTTCCATAATCCCCCCCAACTGGTACCTTCCTCCCCAAGAGAACTCTGCACTGGTTTTGTACGTGCAAATATGTGTACCTTTTGCTGCTTCCCATTAAAATGGAAGCTCTTTGAGGATAAGCACTGTTCTCTGTTCGTCTGTGTATCCCCAGCACCTAGAAGAATAATTGGCACATAGTAAGTGCTTAATGACCACCTGTTAATTAAGTGAGATAGCTGAGCACTGTAGGAACTCTAGATGCTCATTGACTTGACTTGACCTAACCATCTCATCCTTACATCACCTTGCTGATTTCAGAAATTTCAGAATTAGACATTCACTCCTCCAGTTCAAAAGAACATATAAGAAAAAGCATGATGTTGTTACATATATTTTTCTCTCTGTTTAACATCTTTCACATCAATTATCACTGGATATCAAACTTCAACAAACACTTATTATATGTCTACTTTGTGTAACATGCTGACCTAGATGCTAGAGAAGACATCCAAAGATGCCATAAGAATGTTGCTGTGCTACTCTAACTTGTTGTTTAGTTGTTTCAGTTGTATCTGACTCTTTTTGACCTAATTAGGGGTTTTCATGGCAGAGATACTGGAGTGGTTTGCCATTTCCCCTCTCTAGCTCATTTTACAGATGAGGAAACTGGGGCAAATAGGGTTAAGTGACTTGCCCAGGATCACACAGGTAGTAAGTGTCTGAGGTCAGATTTGAACTCGGGAAGATGAGTCTTCCTGACTTCAGGCCTAACACTCTATCCACTGTGCCACCTAGCTGCCCTCAATACCTTAACTTTTCTTTGTTCTTTTCTCTTTAGGTTATGTGGTATTCAGAAGTTCTCCATATAACACCTTAGTCTCTGGGAAGGATGAGGAGGGAGAGTGCTAGAAAAATGTTAAATTTAGAGTCACAGAATTTTAAGTCTGGAAAGGATCTTAGAGATCTAATCCAAGCCCCACCTACCTCATTTTACAAATAAAGGAACTGAGGCCCAGAGAGGTTAAGTGACTTGCCAAAATTCACATAATAAATTAATGACAGAGTCAAAACTAAACCCAGATCTCTTATCTTCCAGTTCAATGATTTTTCTACCACTCTCAGGCCTCCAAAAGAGCAAGCAGACAATACAATAAATAGCCTAATCTGTGGAATTTACCAAGTCACTTTTTTCATCTTGCCCTTCTCAGTCCTATTCAAACATGAAAAGAAATACAGGTTCGGTAGTTTTGAAGCTAAACATGTATTTTGTTGAACTAAAATATCAAGTGAATGCTTTTCCATATTCAGTTCAGCACCTACTTTGTATATGGCTCTATGCTGTGTTTAACAAAATAAATGAAAATATAATACAATATAGATAATGTTAATCTGGGGTTTTCTAAGTCAATATGTGGTACAGGGATCCTTATGTATGGTTCTGTAGCCCCAATTCTATTTGAGTTTGACACCTGTGTAGAGGATTGTCTGGAGAGGAGAGAGCCTTACAGTAGCATTCTAGCACTGGGAAATCCAAAAGCTTCCCAAAGCATCATCAAAGATAGCAATAGATATGGAATAGAATATGCTCCGAGGAACAGACATATTGCTCATTTCATTGGATGTTCTTAGGTCTTCCTTGTTGGCTTATTATCTGTCTGAAAGTAATTTGATGAGAGGCTTATGCATTTATGCTATTTAGATCTCTTTGGACTTTCAACAGAAATAATTTGCATCATTATTTGGAAGCTGTTGTTTATGATTTTGTGCTTCTGATTCTCTTCGATGAATGGGATATTGTGAGCGTGGAGGGTAGGGACTGTCATTTGCCTCTTTGTATCCCCACCACTTAGCACGGTGCTTGGTGCATAGTAGGTGTTTAGGTGATTAATAAATGTTTATTGGTTGTTTGATTTTATGAGTTTCTCCTTCATAGTATGGGCCCTTTCTGAGGTCATGCAGTGGTTGCCCTATGACCCGCTTGCTGTATATGTCTTCCTGTCTCTCACTGCTGTCAGGTCCTTTTGAGAACTACTCTTTGGTTATTCGAAAACAGACTACCCAGGCTCCCTCATTCTAGGTGAAAATTAAATAGACTGGTAGACCTGATGCCCAGCTCCTGATCAAGTTTTTAATCTGTCATAAAGGAGAAATAGATTCACAGATAGATGCACAGTCTATACTTTTCTACCTTTCAAGTCCTCTTACACTTACTACCATCCACACACTCTATCATAACAGTGGTCTTGAAGTCTTCATCTCCACTTCATCATCACACTCCAGGCCGTTTCACTCTCTGTTTCCCTGACCTAGAATATATTACTTGACCTCCCTATCCTACTTCCTGCATTCTCTGGTTTCCTCCAAGATTCAGCTCAGAACTCACCTTCTGCAATTGACTTTTGCTGGCCTCTCCCACTTCACTTCCCAGGGTCTACGCTCTGACATTACCTCGAGTTTACCTAGTGTCTTGTAAGTACATAGCTGTTTGTATATTGTCCCACTCGTTAAAATGTGAGTTCCTTGAGGGCAGAGTTGGTGGGTTTGTTCTACCTACTTATCTACCTATCTATCATCTATCTATTCATTTATTATGTATTTATTTATTTGCTCATTTGTTTTGAATTTATTGCCTTGTATTCCCAGTGCTTAGCACAGTCCTTGGTACATAGTAAACACTTAATAAATGCTTGTTGATCACTGAAACTGACTGTATAACTGATCTCTAACAGAGCTTTCCCTCCGGCCCCTGCGATCTTGGAATCCCCTCCGCGCTGGTGCTCCCTGGAATGCGCCCCAAGTTTCTAGTTTCTTGTAAACGTCTGTCCGTTCGAGTTCTTACTTACAAAAGAAAGCAGGGCCCCGAACCCTGCTGCGGGTCCACAACTCCCGACGGGACTTTGTGACGCCTTTTATTGTAGCAACAGCTCCTGGTCGCTTGCCCGAAATCCCCAGCTCCTTCCTCTACTGAGCTTATAAAAGAAGCTCGGCTGGAGGTGTGCAGGTTCCCGGCTGCAGAGTGCTGGGGCTAGTGGGGTAGGGGAGCGGGGGGACACAAGAGGGAGAGGCCAAGGAGGCCAAAGCGACAAACGAGAGTGATGGGGTGCGGGGCTTCTAAGCCTGTGGAAGAGCAGCGAACAGTCCCGGAGCCTAAGAAAGGCTGGGAGGAAGGGAGCGAGGTAAAAAAAAAAAAAAATAGACTTCTTGCAAACCATTTCATTCGGTAGGGGCATTGCGACCCTCTCCCTCCCTCAATCCCGTTTGGGGGGAGTGGGAGGGGATTTCAGCCTCTGCTGGAAGCTAAGACTGAGCAGTTGGACATCGGTGACTACTACCCCTTGCGGCTGCTGAATATCTGGAGGAGGGAAGGCGTCTCACTTTGAATGAGCAGGTTTGGCACGGGTGCCATCCAGCTTATTAAATTAAGTCTGACAGTCTGGTAATTTAATGAGCACCAGACAGAGCAGCAGGAGAGGGCGAACCAAAGGACCGAGACGGGAAAAACTGGCTGCTGAACTCTGGGTCCTGCGTATAGCTGGGCTTAGCAGCATCTCTCAATAGGCAGGTAGTGAGTTTCCCGGAAAAAGGAAGAGCTAAGCTCTCAGAGAGCTGCCACCTGCCGGCTTACAGTGATTAAAGGTAACTGCAGCTTCATAAAGTACCGTTTTCTCCATAGAAACCTCTCTAGATCATAGGGTCATCGATGTAGGGTTGGGATGGACCCCGGGGGGCATCTAGTCCAACCTTCTTATTTTACGGGTGAGTAAACTGAGGTCCTGGGAGGTTGTGACTTGCCCCAGGTCACACAGGTGGGTAAGCCTCAGGGGTAGGATTTGAACTTCAGACTCATTGCTTACTCCATTATACAAAAGATATGTGAATTGGGATGGGCTAGGGAGCGGTGGAGAGAGAATCTTGGTAGAAATGTCAAAAGCCACTACCTTTACCGGCCCTCCCCCAATCCCCAGATTCACATTCTCAGAACCCCTTTCAGTTTGCTAGAGAATGGTCACAGTTAGGGCTAGCCTTAGCTAAAATTCTGTAGTAGAAGAAATTGATCTTCATTCCTCTTCTTGGGTAGTGAAGGATCACCGGATGGACTTAGAAGATCTACAGTAGTTTCAAATCCCAGCTTTGCTACTGATTTCCTGTAACCTGCAGCAAATTCACTTTACTTGTCTGGGCCTCATTTTCATCGGTAAAATGAAGTAGTTCAGCTACAGAATTTCTGATATTCCATATAATTCCAAATTGATGATCCTATAATCTTCCCATCCTTTTCCAAGACACCCTCCATCCCCACCAGGCATCTAGTTGTACAAAAACTCTGAGCTCCCTTCCAACTCTGAGTTTGTCATTTGGCTCAAGGTTCTTTACCCTGGGGTGAATATTGGGCCTGCTCTCTTCTACCCTACCCTTAAGCTCTTACATGATTCTTTGTACTGATGTATTCCTGACCCGAGGTCTCTTTCACTTATAACCCTGCTAAATAACTGAACCTAATCTGAATAAACTAATTTGAGCTGAAGCATTGGTGGCTGACAATGTATTTTACTCTTTGAAAGGTGACCTCTGCATCTTAAAATGTCCTATAACTGGCCTTAGGTGAGAAAGTAATAGGGGTAAGTTGAGGAATTGTAGTGTGACCAATGAGGGAATTATTTTTGGCAAGAGTATGTTTTGGTGTCGGTCCAATATACTCATGCAGGCAGCAGGTAGTAGGCAGGAACCCAGGCTTTAGTGGAAAGCAAAAAATGGGCATCCATGATACCCAGCGTTGCCTCCTTTAAAGGTAAATGTCAAAGGCAAATGCTACGTGATTAAAAACATGTGTTACCCATTGGGCAGACTCAGATTCATAGTTGACAGTTTGTTGTCCCCACCTTTTCTCTATGGCATAGGTTTATGGCTTAGTTTGAAGTCTAAGTGAGCCTTATGTGTACTGATAGTTTTTGAGTGTGGCTCTCACTCCCCAGGAAATAAAAGAATTGAACTGGAAAAGACCAGTCTTAATGGATTCTATAGAAATTAATTTTAATTCACTCATTTTAAAAATGCATACATAGAACACTTTTCTATTAAAGAGGTGGTAACAGCACAAATAGCCAAAGAGTGTTAGCATTTCAAAATTTAAAAAATTAAGAATCTTCATGATAGATTCTGGGGCAGCTAGGTAGCACAGTAGAGAGCCAGGCCTGGAAGTCATGAAGACCTGAGTTCAAATCCAGCCTCAGAAGCTTACTACCTGTGTGATCCTGGGCAAGTCATTTAACCCTGTTTGCCTCAGTTTCTTCATCTGTAAAATAAGTTGGAGAAGGAAATGGTAAACCACTCTATTATCTTTGTCAAGGAAACCCCAAGTGGGGTCACAAAGAGTCAGAACACAACTGAAAATAACTGATCAGCAAAATTATAATGGCGTCTAATTTAGATTTTGCCAAACTCTGTGCAGGATAACTATTAGTAGCCTAGCTTGACTATTAGTAGACTCCCCTTCCTTTGTCTTCCTCTTCCATAGCTCTTAATGTTTTCCATCCTCTGTATGTAGAGAATACCTGGTACCTTGATGTTGGGCAAAAACAAATTGATACAAGAGAAACTTTAACAATTTTGCATATCATTATTATGTTCTTATTGTATAAAAGGTACCATATTAGGCATTGGGAATAAAAAGAGAAAAACATGACAGCCCCTGTTGCGAAAGCCCTTATTCCATTATTTTCTTCTGGGAGGATACAACATTAACAATGACAATTTGAGGAGGGAATGGGGAGTACTAACAACAAATAAAGTCCAGGAAGACTTCCTATAGGAGATGGTACTTAGCTGAGTCTTAAAGGGAGGCAGGGATTCTCTGAGGCAGAAGGCAAGAGGGAAGATAGGCTTTATGAAGTGGTGGAAGATGGAATACTCAGTTTGGGGTATAATGAACAGGTCACTTAGCGCATACAAATGGAAATTATTTGTAATTAGTTTGGAAAGTTAGGCTGAAGCCCTACTGTGAAGGGCTCTAAATGTCAAGCTGAGAAGTCTATATTTTTATTACAGAGGCAAGAGGGAGTCATGTTAGTTTCTAGAGTAGGGGAATGACTTTGTCAGATTTGTGCTTTAGGAAAATTATTTTGTTAGCTTTTGTGGAAGATGGATTAGAGAAGGGAGAAGCTGGAAGTCAGGAATCCAATGAGATATAAGGGCTTGAAACAACGAATATAACAGTAACCAAATTTTAATTTTTAAATGACCTGACAATTTACTTCTATATTCTAGTCTATTCTATGTTCTCCAGGGGTGGGGAACCTGTGGCCTCAAGGCTACACGTGGCCCTCTAGGTCCTCAAGTACAGCCCTTTGACTGAATCCAAGCTTCACAGAACAAATCCCCCTAATAAAAGGATTTGTTCTGTGAAATTTGGATTCAGTCAAAGGACTACACTTGAGGACCTAGAGGGCCTCAGGTTCCCCACCCATCTAGCCTATTCATACACACACACACACACACACACACACACACACACACACACACACCCTTTTTTTTTTTGGATGAGAGGTTAGGAGGTGGAGAGGGGCAAACACTCAAATCTGAGCTCTTGTTTCAGGAGAGGCCTCGTTAGTATGCCAGTACAGTTCTGCCATACCTCAGTTGCTTACATAAATGCACAGACACCAGAGAAGCACACATTAGAAATTCAGCATTTCAAATGTGTCTTAAAAATGAGTCAATATGAACATATTTCCTTGCATGAAGTATCTTTTTTTTAACTGTACAACTTTAAAATATTCTGAATAAGACTTAGTAAGACCTGTTTACATGCTTTCTCTTCACTCTTGCCTAAGTCTGAAGTGATGAGAAGGGATTGTAATAGAATAATGTATGATGTGCAGTAAAGCATCTGAAACTCTTCTCAGTGGGAGAATTGTACTTTTCCTGCATGCATAATTCAAAGGTTACCTAATAAATTTTCTGAACATTGATAAGAATAACCTTTGGTGTTGGCAGGGGGTGGACTAAATTACTTTTAAATATCTATTTGTGCCTAAGAACTCATTTCTGGATGAATTTATGAACCTATATATTTTTACTTACCAAAATTAAATTTTTTTTAAAATCAAGTTTTGAAACAAAATTTACCCTCTCTTGTACTTATCGGTGTATTTTTGCATCTATTATTAACCATCTACAAACCACCTTACAGTTATTTGATTTGGGGGTACCAATCAGCTCCCCCAGGCTTTAGGAAATAGTTTCCTCTAGGCTGGATAAAAAACTCTTGCTTCTCCAAAGACCTAGACGTTTAGAAAGCAATTTCAGATTTTCCACAGCATGGTTTTAGATTCCACATGATGACTCTAAATACCAATAACTTAAAAGTCATGACTTTTCAGTATCACAACTGGTGATAAAAGCATCCTACCCGAAGAAAGATATGTATGACAATAAATTAAGGCAAAGTGTTCCTATAGTTCCATTAACACCTGCCCCCACCCCCTCCCTTTCCTCCATGGTAATAACAGCATGAATTAGGATTCATACCTATGCAATTCCAAATACATTATTCTTTTCTAAGAAAGAAAGGTAAAGCCAAATGGAAATAAGATATGAAAAAGAAAGTTCTCTATGTTCCTTAGTACAAAAATTTGTACTTTTTCTCTACTCCTACCAAAAATTTTCATTACCTAAAATGCAGGTAAACTGATTATTGGGATGAAAATGCAAATTTCTTTGCATATATACACATATGTGTATATATACCTATATTTTGTATGTATATGTATATCTGTAACAGTGTATGGATATGCATACATGCCTACATGCGTGTATGTATATAAATATATACATGTGTATACATATACACATACATATACATGTATTCATGCATGTATACTCAGCCAGTAAGAAGTATAGTGGTCAGTCACAGGTCTGACTCCACTATCAGCCCAGGAACTTGAACTTTGACCTGCTCAATTTTTCAAACCTGGGTGATTTACCCCTCCATAGACAGTCTCATGGTCCCTTACTCTGGATGACCTCCAGTTTCTAAGAACAGAAAATCAGCTAGTAGTAGTAGTAGATTTACTTATGCTGAAAAGTTGTCACCATTTTCTCCATTTAAATACTGCAGTTTATCAATGTTCTTTCTAAAATGTGGCAAGCAGAACTCAATATAACAGTCTGGGAAGGGCAGGATAAAGAGAGAAACTATCACGTCCTTATTTCTGGAAGCTAAGCCTCTTAAAATAGCCTAGAGAAGCAGGCTTTTTTTTTTCTTCTCCAGAGTAATTCATTCCAGTCGCTTCAACTGAGCTTCATATGCAGTGAGATTCAGTAGTCACCATTCTGTTTGAACTTTTCTGAATACATCCTTGTTTGTCAATATCCTTCCTAAGACAGGGTCTGTTGAGGGCAGAGATCAGTGAAATATCACCTCCCTCTTTCAGGATACTAGGCTTTCATGGATACTCTTTGAAAAATGTTAGCCCCCTTAGATTAAAAATATAGTTTGTTTGTTTTTTAAGAGTTTTAATTCTTACCTTATGCATTGTTAGGAGGTAAGGCATTTCAGGGATCCTCTCCATATCCCAAGTTGGGAAGTAGGAAGACCTGACTTCTGGCTGTGGAAACTGCACGTCACTCCAATTTTCTTAATCAAAAGTGAAATTCCCATTTTTGTTAGAACTCGATGTTGTTGCCTTCAACACCTCTCAGAGGCAGGTAGATAGGTGAATGAATGTTCATGCTTACTGGCAAAATTGGATAACAACCTATGATCCTATAGTCTTAGGAATTCTAGTTTATGACATGAATATGTCATAAATGTCTAATATTTATGATGTAATTTTGAGTCACTTCTTAATAGGAAGGAAAAAGAGTCAATTCTCAGCAGTAGTTTTGGCATGTTTTAGAAATGTGGCTTTTTAGCCCTAAAGTATTCAAGTTTGCTCTCAATTTGAGTATGTTCTTTTAATTAAGTCTTGATTTTCAATTAAGACTTTTTTTTCATTCTACACTTAGAAATCCTAAATTTCATGATTTCTAATTAGTTCTTAAGGGAGGTTTTGATTTATTAGGTATACAAAATGATAGATCTGAAAAGCTAATGAATGCCCCTTCACCCCTGCTCCCGAGTGATGCATTGACAATCTTTCTCTTACTATGGATATCTACAGGGAATAAACAGCATACTTGGTTTTCTTGTTTTCATTCATTTTAAAATTAACCCTACTCTTTCCCCACCCCCATTAGAAGGGGCTCTCTTCAGTTTTTGCTTGTTTTGTTTTTTCTAAATTATATTTTGTTTTTTCTAAATTACAACACATACAACTCCTTTTCTCCTTGAAACAATGGGAATGCTTGTTCATTTTTCAGGGATGTGCTGGTAAATGTCTAACAACTGGCTCTCTAGGGGAAAATGTACCTATGACACTTTTAAATTTAATCTGCTCTATTAATCTATACTGGAAGCAGCTAGATGGTAGTGGATAGAGCACTGGGCCTGGAGTCAGGAAGACCTGAGTTCAGACGTGACCTCAGACACTCACTGGCTGTTTGACCCTGGGCAAGTCACTTTTTAAAGTCTGGGCGATCAAGAAAACAATAAATCAAGCTCTGATTTGAAGTGTTTGTCAATTTTAGAAGTAAAAATGCTCACATTGAACATTTAACAATTGTCTCTCAAGCTAGTTTGAGCTGGCTCAAGCAGGTTCCAGCACACCCCTGGCAATATTTATATTTGTGGGCTGGGGAGGTGGAAAGAAAGAAGGTGACTGGGAAAAGAGACAGAGACTCAGGCAAACACAGAAAGATAGGTGTAGGGAGAGGCAAGGCTGCTTACAGGCCACTTTATTCTTACTCCTTCCTGTTCTTAAGTTTTATGAAGAAACCCAAATGAGGTGCTTCATACTGTACCTTATTCCATGGCCCACAGGGATCTTCACAGAAATCTCTGCTTGACTTGGGTCATGTCCAAAAATGTATTTCTTATTCTGTGTTTTAAACCCATACTCTCTCTGAAGGAGGTGGTTGGCATGTTTAATCTTCAGTCTTCTGGAATTATTTATCATTGCACTGATCAGTAAAGTTTTTCAAAGTCATTTTTCTCTATAATATTGTCATTGAGTATATGCATGTATATACATATGTGTGTGATAGCATTTAAGTTATTTTTATTAGTGAGACTTTAAAAATGGAAGAAGGGATGCGGTAGGGGGTGGATTGCAGAGTAGGCAAGCCTGCTGCCCCTTCTGGTTAAAAAAAAAAAATGTTCCAGGTTTATTCTGTCATGGATCTCACTGTCATCCAGGGAAGCATAATCCTTGCTTGTGCACCATTTCTTCAGTACTGTGACGGTTAAAAATATTTGAGAGACATAGGTTCTGGGTAATTTAATCATTTTATTAATAAGGCCAGCAAGTTATTAATAAAAGGATGGTCATTTGGCCTTCTCTCTTAGACCAAAGATAATCATGGCATTGGCTCAGAGCTTATATGTTCTTTTGGAAGAGGAGGAGCAATCAATTCTGATTGGTTAACACAAAGGGAGGTGGGCTATATTAAAATGAGAGGCTGAGAGTAACATCTGCTACCCTTGGACAGAGAGTTCAGTCTCCTCCACCCCCAACCTAATCAAAGAATTCAATTCCCCCTAAACTTGGGTAGAACACAAAGGGCTTCCTCACCTTAGATTAAATTCCTTGTAAGATTGGGGGGGGGGGGGGGAGTCTGACTGAGATTGAGGAGAGTTACTTCAATCTCATTATCAGTAATGTCCTTCAAAGACTGAACTTTTCACTTTTAAAAATCAGGACTTTAGAAGAAGGGGAGAACTCTGGATCTCCCCAAATTATTGGTTATTAATAATCACTTCTCTCAGTATAATCTTGTTCCAGGCAATCAGTTTCATAGAGTCTTTTAGTCATGTCATCAATGTTGTGCTTCCCATGGACCTTCTTCCCTGGCCTGGTCAGCCTGCTCCCTCCTAGTTCCACTCAGTTTACTCTGCATCAGTTCACAGAGGGCTTCCCAGCTTCCTCTGAAAGTGTCTGGTTTGTCCTTTCTTACATTACAGTAATATTCTATTCCATTCCTATACCTCAATTCATTTAGCCATTCCCCAGGTGGTGAGTACTCCCTTTGTTTCCAGTTTGAGGCTACAATGAAAAGAGCTGCTTTGGATATTTTTTTATACATGTGTCCCCTTACTCATCACAGAAACTGGTTTAATGTACACAAGTCATTACAAACAACCTCTATCACCAATTCTCCTTCAAGTTCATAATGAGAAGCCATTATTTTAGAGGTTCCATTAACTGTTATACTTTCTTTTTGCAGATCAAAGCCACACGAGTAACTCTTAGTAATCACCAGCCAGTACAGAGCTCCTGTCTACAGAGAGGGTTATCCTAGCCTGAATACCGTCATTTCTAATCAAGGATATTGGGATTGTCAATGCTGCAAGGCTGAGTGGTAGTCCTTCAATCCACATGTCTTTGACTCTTCTGAATGAATTTTGACATTATTTTGTCTAGATCTGTAAAGGCTTAGCATTTTGATTGGTTTAAAGTTAAATCTGTAAATAATTTGAGTATCCTGACCAATACAAAGCTTTGCTGTTTCATTACCTTATCAATGCATATGGAAGACGATCATTGAATATTTATTGAACAATTGAATGGATACTCACAAAATAGAGCAGCAAACGTTGCTTTCATTTTCCAAATTACCTGTAATTCATAAATGATAAGTTCTTTTTTCCTTTTTTTTTTCACAGGTTGATATTGGTGAATCTCATATACCTGTAAATGTTGGGCCTTGGGATGGGTCAGCAAGATCTAAAAGTATTATGGATAATGAATTTGGACTGGAAGATGGTGTCTTAATGGGAAGCTTACCTGGAACCATTCTAGAAAATTCACCACCTCTTGATAAAAAAAATGAAGAAGTAAAAACAGGTAAAGAATCCAACTGAAATTGGAACAGTACACCTCTTAGATCCCTTCCAGATCTCAGGTTCTATGACTGAGTCAACTCATAACTTATGTAGTAGTACATGTCGTAAAAATAACTTAGTAGTTACATCCCTGGATATGCTGGTAAATGCTTAACAACAAGTATATATAAATATATACACACATATAGATATAGGTGTGTACTTATCTATATATATGTAAAATATGTGTATATACATATGTGTATATATATAATCACACTTTTAAGTTTCATTTGTGTCATTAATATTTAATTCATTACTTTATTAAGTCTAGACAATCATTAAAAAAAAATCAAGCCTTTATTTGTAATTGTCCAATCAGCAAAAAAAAAAAAAATCCACTGAGGCAGAGCTCCATGGCCCCCTCTAATGAAGTGGACCTCAGATCTTTCTCACCATCTGAGACGCACCTGATCCCCAGGACCTTGGTTTTACAGGGTTTGATATACAAATATGCAAAAGAAGCATGGCAAAATACAGAATCTCATTGGTTACTAGACCTTGCTCTTAAGGGCCAAAGATGATGTATCAGCCAAAAAACTGGTAGGTGAACAGGAGGGGTTATAGGTTGTCAAAGCACGGGGTATCTCTATTGACTAAGTGGTCATAAGATCATAAGATGGTCACGAGCCCATGTTGGACAAGAGAGAGTAGTCCGGAGATACAAAAATAAGTAGGAGGACTTTCCAAAGAATCAAGGCATTCCACCCACACTAGGTTTGGGCATGGAATTTGAGCAAAACAGGATGGAGATATCTTTGTCAGCATTCTTGTGGTTGAGCAAGTGAGCTTTATAACTAATAAATAAGTAGTGAACATTACATTAAAGATTGAGGCCTACTATAAAGGCCCACTATAAGAACCTATCTCACCTAATTATCCCTATATGATTTATGTAAAATATTAAGCTGATTAACGCTGATTGGAATAGAGTAGGGGTCCAAATGAATCATTCCTTACAATCATCTGAGGTGTAAATGCTCACACTGAAAATTTAACAATTGGCTAAACATTTAGCAGTTGGTCAGAGCTGGCTCCATCACATTACTGGATCTGTATGAAACAGTAGGGGAACTTTTCCTCCTAGATGCTGATTAGGAAGGATTCTAGGACACAGGAACAAAATGTTGAAAATGGATCTTGGAGGTTAGCTAGTAATAGAATCATAGGACTCAGAGTTGGGATGGACCTTAAAAGATCATCTAATGTGGCCCTCTCCTTTTAAAAGTGAGGTCACTAAGGTCTAAAGCATTAAGTGACTTGTCCAAGGTCACACAGACAATAAGTGGTCAAATCAGAGGTAGAATCCTCATCTCCACCAGACAGCATTGCCTCCTTCAATATTGTTGGATATGAACCTTGTTTTGTGGAACTGCAGCACCATAGATGATGAGGTCTATTGCCAAGACATTAAAATTGAACTTAGCTTCTTTGTGGGTTTTAGAGTATAATAGTGTTAGCCAGCAGCTTTCCAGTTAAAATGTCAAGTAAACTAATTTACTTTGTTTGTTTTTGATAACAGCCATTATAGAGGTTGGTTGCTTTAATTTTTGGCTGTATTCACCTCTCTCTACATGTAAGATTTGCATTTAAACATAAAATGAATCAAAAAGAATTATCCTAATAAGTGTAGAACCAAATAATTTTTAAAATTAATAAAAGAAATAATTATGTTTTGGTGTTTGTGCTATTGAGAAACTATTTATGATTTACTTCTCTGGCACAATTTCCCTTTCCCTAAATTACTCCTTAGTATTGGAATAATAATAATAACTTTGTTCAGTCATTTTAGACGCGTCTGACTCTTCATGACCCCATATGGAATTGTCCTGGCAAAGACACTAGAGTAGTTTGCCATTTCCTTCTCCAGTTCATTTTGCATATGATGAATTGAGGCAAACAGGGTTAAGTGACCTACCTAAGGTCACACAGCTAATACGTGTCTGAGGCCAGATTTGAACTCAGGAAGAGGTGTCTTTCTGATTCCAGGCATGGCACTCTATCCACTGTGCCACCAACTGCCTTGGCCTATAGTAATTCTAGTTCTTTCTGTTAGGGAGTATATTACTTCCTTAAATTTTGGCCTGCCTATTGAAGATAAGGGAAAAACTGAGACACTTCTAAGGGGAATCTAACTCTTCTTAAACAGGGTTACAGACTTTAACTTCATGCAATCTTTACCTCAATTCAATTCTTTTTTAGGAGGCCTTTCTCAGTTCCCCAGATGCTAACTTCTTCCCCTCTGAGATTATCTTCCAACTATTCTTTATATATCTTATACATACCTAATTATTTTCATGTTTTTCTCCCCCATTAGAATGATGTGATCTCCTTGAGGGCAGGGATTGATTTTGCCCATTTGTATCCCCATTGCCTTTGTATCCCCATTACTTAGTATAATGCCTGGCACATAGTAGCACCTAATAAAAGTTGTTGATTGATAATTCAGTACTTAATTATTAAGCACCTACTGCATGCAAAGCACTACAGTAGGCACTGGAGAAGAAACAACATTTAGGTAAGAAATAATCACTATCCTAATGAAACTTTTAGACTTGTTTAAGGATGAGATATATGATGTTTGAAAAGTTCAAGAGACATAGTTTCTGGGTAGTTAGTCCTTTTTATTAATAATGCTAGAATGTTACTAATAAAAGAGGTCACATGATGGAAAATGCTATCCACATCCAGAAAAAGAACTATGGATTCTGAATGCAGATCTAAGCATACTCTTTGCTCTCTTTTTTAAAATATTTCTTCTTTCTCATGGTTCCTCCCTTTGGTTCTAATTCTTCTTTACAACATGACTAATGTGAACATAGGTTTAATATGAATGTATATGTAGAGTCTAGACAGATTACAGGCCATCTTGGGGAGTGGGGGAAGAAAAAGAGGGGGAGAAAGTTTAGAACTCAAATTCTTATGGAAGTGAATGTTGAAAACTAAAAATAAATTAATTAATTTTAAATACCTTACAAAAATAAAATAAAAGAGGTCGATGGCCCTCTCAAATGGCAAAGACCCCTCATGGCAGTGGGCTCAGTTTATATACCCTTGGAAAAGTAGGTGTTCCTGAAGGTGGCAATCAACTCTGATTGGTTAACAATAAGTGAATGAATATTACCTTGAGTGGTGGGCTGTAGCACAATGAGGGTCTCGAGGCATGTGACACTGAGCACCCAAATCTTGGTCAGAGAGGTCTATCAATTTCCATATCACCCTCTGACAAATGGGAGAATCCACATTTTTCCAGACATGTCTGAGTAAACAGAATGAATCCACCCATTTGCCTAAACTCAGAATTTCTTTTACTGTCTTTGATTAGATCTTAGCTTGGCTAAATCATTGCCCAAGATTTCTCATACTGGTTGATTTCTGGATGAGAAATTAGAAAGCGGAAAAAATCTTGGTCCCAATATAATAATTATTTATTCAATACAAGAGAAAAATAATTATTTCTCTCAGATATAATCATGAGTAACTGTAATTTATGGTATTACATGATAAGTACATTAAAGAGGAATAAAACAAAGTGCTATATAAAGTCCAAAGGGGGAGGTTTCAACTAATGAGTAGGTCAAATAAAGCTTCATGAAGGATGTGGCATTTGAGTATAAATAATAATTAAATAGATAAAGAAGGAAACATTCCAGGTATAGGGAATTACATGACCAAAGGAACAGAAGGGAGATAGCAATTTGGAGGACAGGGAGCTGGGTTAGAATATAACATGCATGGAAGGGAATAAAATTAAATGATCCTAGAAAAGTTAGATGGTTATCAGATTATGGACAGTATTAAATTCCAGGCAAAGAAGTTTGAGCTCTATTCAGTACGCAGTCGGGAACCACTGAAGACTTTTGGGCAGTGGAATGAAATGACCAGCTCTACAAATTAAGAATTATTCTGGCAGTGGTATGAAATAAATCTTAGAGGAGAGAGAGAGTGGAGGTGGTGAGACAAGTTAGAAAGCTATTGGCAATAGCCCAGGTGGATGGTAATTAGAGTCTATAATGGAGTGGTATCTGTGAAAATAGAGAGAAAGAGACAGATATAAGATCGAGTGCAGAGGTAAAATGAACAGGATTGGTTAACTGGATGAATGTGAGGGAGAAAGGTTACATGTAACAACAAGCTTTCAAAATGTGGGTGAATGGTGGTTCCATAAACAAAATTGTCATAAAACAAGAAGAATAGGCTTAGAGGATAAGATTCACTTTGGGAAATGTTGAGATCAAAATGCTGAGAAAACTTTCAGGGGCAGGGATCTTGGAGGCCCAGTGAGTCCCAGGCTATATATTCCTGATACACTATTTCAAGGGGTCTGCTGAACTGCTAGTTCAAACAAACCTCAAGCTTTGTCATCTCAATCTTCATTTAGCTCCAGACATATGTAGTTATTATTCATTTAAATTTTTTACTGAATTCATGGACAGTTTTTGTCATTATTTATCTTTTCAATCATTGCATTCTAAGAGATCAAGCTCTCTATGAGAGTATACTCACTTATATGCAATAAAGGGGTCCTTTTAGTTAGAAACCACTTCTTACAACAGTTGGAGAAAGAGGAGAACAGGAAATAAATCAAGTTTGATTCTCTCAACAGCAACTAACTCCTTGGTTTAACACTTTGAAATTAAGTTCTTATTGTATTTGCTACTATGCACTTATTAGATATTCTTAGGGGCATATTGAAAAGCAGTACTGAAGGAGAGGAGTGGATTTTTTAAAATATTCACATGCTAGAGTGAAGGAAAATGACAACCTCATGGCACAGTGAAAAGGCCACTGTATCTGAAAGCCAAGCACCTGGATTTAAATGCTGGCTCTGCCTATGTGTGACCTTAAGACAAGTCAATTAACTTCTCTGGCCCCCCAATTTCCTAAAGTAAAACTAGACAATTTGGACTAAGTGAATTCTAAGGCCCCTTGAAGCTGTAAATCTGTGATATCTGGTTAGGTTTTATTCCACAATTTCACAGTAAAAATTCACTCATCCTATCTACGCTGGCCTGCAGAGTTAAGAATTTCTATGAAATTCCTCCAGTTGAATGGAAAGAACTTGTTTTCTACTGAAATTAAGCTTTTTTTTTTTGCTAAGTATGCTTAAGGAACTCCCACTGTGGGATTACAAATTATCTCTTCCCACATGGACCTATCACTACCCAGCTACATACATAAAGAGTCCCCTGGGATTTGCTTAAGACACAAAAAGATGACATGATCATCCCAGGGTCACATACCCAGAAAGGGTGACAGGGATTTGAATGGGATTCAAAACCAGGTTTTCCTGACTCTAAGTGTAGCTGTCTCCAAGTCTCTATTTTTTAAGAATAGATGGCAGCATATTTCTGGGGAGAATGCAAAGTTTTGTTACTGACAGAAGAAAAAACACAACAAAATAGAACTGCATTTGCCCAAAACAAACCAGCAAAGTCCATTTGCATGATACTGAAATAAGGCTCATTGGCTTACTTATAAATTTGGGTGATTAGCAATGGGGTTTCTCTATCACTGGTGCCCTCCTATAAATTATTTCAATATTGATTTTTAAAAATAGCTTTTATGAAAGATTGGCTGATGTTATGTGACTGAGTCTGATATGGTCCAAAGATTCTTTTCAGAGAAGACCTAGCTCTACTGATACAGATTTAGCAGATGGTGTAATTGTAAACTCAGAGTTGCAGAACCAGAAATCTCTTGGCAACATCACACTGTTTATCATTTGTATCCAAAGCATAGAAACCAATCTGCAACTGCAAAGACTTACTCAAAGAATCCCTTATTCTTCACTGCTCTCTGGCTTTGTAATGAGGACAGACGACAAAGGTAGCCATACCCAAGTGTATGAGTGTTGTGACAACGCAATCATTGGGCACAGCAGAGAGAAATGGCTTTTTTGTTTTCTTAATAAGCAGCCTCCCAAATAAACAGGTTTTCCTGTTCCTTGTGGTTCCTCCCTCTGTAGGAATGCTGAGAACCTGAACGTGCTCAAAAAATGACAGATTTTATTCTGTGCCCAGAACAGTCTATGGGTCACAGTATTAGGGCTCTGAGGAAATGAAGTAGTGTGATTAATTGTGAGGTGGGCTCTGATGCTTGTTTTGTCTTTTTTTTTTAAAGAACCAATGATTAACGGATTAATCGATACGTCCCAACACTTTCAGAGTCGAGAGAGGCCAAAATCATCAGACATCCTGGAGGAACTTTTCATTCAAGGAATAATGCAAAGTCAAAGTAAAGTATTTAGAAATGGAGAATCATATAATGTCATGGCAAGTAATTAATTTATAATAAACTTTAGAATGTAGTTAAAAGTAAAAGCAGTGTACGATTGTTGATCAGAAAGCATAAACTCCAGTGAATACATGTTAAGTATGATTCTCAAAGTACCTTTTTGAGTTAGTCCCCCTACTCCCATGAATTACCTCTACCCTAACATGCAAAATTTTCAATTAATTCCCGGGCTGCTCTAAGCATTCATGAGGCACTAAAGTGCCTATGAAGTCTTACAGACTCTGAGGTAAACAAAGGCAACCTTGAAATTGAAGTCCGGTTTTTTCAGGGTAAAGACTGACCATCAGCCACAGAATACAAACACGCACCTGATCCTGATGAAAAACTAAGGTGAAACTATAAATGTAGTGATGGTTACTCTATTGCTAATCATGTGCCTCCTCCAGCTGATCAGTTTGCCTGGCTTACTTGACTGTACAGTTATCCCTTCCACATTGTAGGAGTTAGGGATGTGGTGCCCCTGCAATGTGGAAAATCCATGTAAAAATTTAGGGCCTTCCTTTTGTACCAGAAAAGTTTGAATTTTTTCTTTTTCTTTTATGGGGTGTTTACAGTATTTTATTGTAAAATCTGAGTTAAGTATTTTGTCATAGGCTCTGTTATCTGCTGGCTTTTATATGCCATCTTTGGTTTTCACAAAAATCCCCACAAATTCCCATTTAATTTCTTATGTTAACTCATGATATATTGAAACCACAATGGGGGAAGTCACAGTGTAGAAGGGATAACTGTGCTGTTTGTTACCGTGGGTAGAATTTGCCACAGCCGCCGCTAACAGAATGCAAGTTCCTAAAAGTGTCTCTATCCCAGAGAGCCTGCCACTGAGAGGATGAAGCAGTTCGTGGGCATCACTAGTGAGTCTAAGCCACAGGCAGGGGAGAAGGAAAAAGAGAAGAGTAAGAAAGAAGGGGAGGGGGGATGGGATGTGAGAGAATAAGATGGTGTATGATTGTTGATCAGAAAGCATAAACTCCGGTGAATGACTGTTAGATAAGATTCTCAAAGTGTCTTTTCGAGTTAGTCCCTCTCCTCTCATGAATTCCCTCTGACCTAGCTTGCAAAATTTCCAATTAATTCCTATGCTGCCCTAAGCATTCATGAGGCACTAAAGAGAAGAAAGAAAAAGAAATGTAAGAAAGGAGGAGGTACACATGGTAAAAAAAAAATTGACTGAGTATTGGCCAAGAATAGTGTCAGGTGGCACTCAATGATACCAATAGAGGAAGTTCATCAGGTTTCCCTGGTTTGTAATAATAGTCACTTAGCCCTTAAAGGTTTACAAAACACTTTCTTGTAGACTGTTTCATAGGATGCTAGAACTAGATGGGGGCTCAAAGGCTATTAGTTCCACCCACCCCCACATTTTAAATATGAGGAGACACAGGGAAGTGAAGTGACTTGGCCAAGATCATTCGGTTAGTAAGTAGCAGAGGTTAAATTTGAACCAAATTCCTCTAATTCTAAATCCAGGGCTTTTCCTATTGCCCCATGATGACTTATTTCATTTTGATCCTCAGAGATCTAAAGCTGTAAGAGACCTCAGAGGCCCTCTAGCACAACCTCATTATTTTACGGGTGGGAAAGCTAAGGGCCAGTGGAGGTTACATGACTTGAATAAGGGCATACAGGAAGTAATCGGAAGAACTTGGATTTCAACCCAGGTCTTCTGACTGAAGAGACAGTACTTTTTTTTTTCCAGGCAATTGGGGTTAAGTGACTTGCCCAGGGTCACACAGCTAGTAAGTGTCAAGTGTTTGGTCTGAGGCTGGATTTGAACTCAGGTCCTCCTGACTTCAGGGCTGGTACTCTATCCACAGCACCACCTAGCTGCCCCTAGACAGTACATTTTACCATGACAATATGCTGCCTTATTCCTTTTGATCTTTATTAAAAAAAAAAAAAAAAACCTGTGAAATAGGTACAAAAACTACTGTCAACTCTATTTTAGAGAGGAATTGGGGTTAAATGATTTGCTCATAAGCTAATACAGGATGTCCCAAAAGTCTTGGTGCAGTTGTAAGCAATGAAAGCACTGTATAGGGCAGTCAAGACTTGAACTCATATCTTTTGGCACCTCGTCTAGAGTACTTTCCCCCTCTGCCAAAATGTCTCTCAGTATTTTCATGATAATAACAATAATAATAGTAGACAAAGCAAACACTGGGGTCAGAAATCAGGAGATTCATTTTGTATGGGTTTTTGATGGTGCTTAACCTCTTTCTAATCTTGCCTCAAGACAATGCCCTCACCTTGACATCTTCCATCTACTTCAGGTAGCTTTTTGGGGGGGGGAAGGGATAATCCAACTCTCCATGACCCCATTTGAGGTTTTCTTGCCAAAGATGCTAGAGTGGTTTGCCATTTCCTTCTCTAGCTAAGATGAGGAAACTGAGGCAAACAGGGTTATGTGACTTGCCTAGGGTCACACAACTAGTAGATATCTGAGGTCATATTTGAACCCAGGTTCTCCTGAGTCTAGGGCCAGTGCTCTATCCACTGTGCCATCTAGCTGCCCCTTAAGGAAAGGAAAGGCATGGACCCCAGAAGGAAGGGCCTAGAGAAAAGAAAGGAAATGTAAGAAGCATAGAGAAAAGGTAGAAGGGCTGGGGGGTCCTAATAATAAGTAGCTCACGTTTAGAGATCTCTTTCAGGTTTGCAAAGTGATTTTCATCTCCAATGTTATTTAGGCTAACAACAGCTGTGTATGCCTTACTATCACGCCCATTTTAAAGAAGAGGAGCCCGAGGCTCAGAATGGTGAAATGCCTTGTTTCTATATACCTGAAGCAGGCTCTGTCCTCTCCGTACTACTGTCAGCTGGAAGAGGAGAAGCAGCCACAGCATGTCCTATAAGGGGCAGGAATCAGATTTTAGAAAACCTACTAAGTGTCGTCAGTAGACTTGGAGTAGGAAGGGAAGAGTGAAAAAAGAATGTAGGGTAATGACACGTGACAGGGGAGAATTGACTTGCTTCATTGAGCAACTCCTTATTAAGCACCTGTTACGTGCAGTACTATGTCAAGAAGAGGAAAGTACTTACAGCAAGGGCAGGAAGAGGTGAGTGTCCCAGAACAGAAAAGGAAGGCCAACAAAGGAAAGAAGACAACTCACTGTGCAGTCTCTGAGAAAAAGTGGTAGGTCAACTAATGCCAGCAAATGACTAGAATTCACAAATGCCCACCCAGGGGAAATCATGGGAATCTTGATTACGAAGTCAGGGGGGATGGCATTAAAATATTTTTCTATTATTCAGATGTCAAAGATGAAAGTGTATTATAAGCTTAGTAAGGGTGAGGATAAGATTAATGTGTGATGTATTGTGGAAGAAACATATCTGTAAGGAAAAAAATAAAAGAATTTCTGGCTTGACTTTGTCGCAATACCATTAAGTCAGCCAAGGATAAAGACTGTTTACATATTATTTAGAAATAGAATGGTTGCTAGAGACATAGCTAAAACGTTGTCAGAGGGATATAAATGTGAGGCAGGACTGGCAGAGCACAGCACAGATAAAATAGCAATCAGGAGCTCTAATGGAGTGCCAGAGTGACCCAGGATAAACCAGGCATGAGGCAGGATGGAAATACACCAGGCTTAACAGGTCCTTATGTTCCCGGAAATCCTGCCACCATCCAACCCTCCCCAGCCCCTAATTCAATGAATGGTAAAAATAATAAAAATAAAGTGTCAACAGTATAATCCAGCATTAACTGAAATATGAAGTCTGGTGATTAGGAGGACAGGATGGTCCCCGGGAAAAGTATCTAAATGGATGGAGGTGGTTAGGGACTGGACCTGTGATTTCATTAGTATTAGGAGGACTTAGATGAGAAAATTCCCTCCACTAATCTACTTTCTCTGCAGCTGAAGTCTTAGAACATTAACTAGGACACTGAGAGACGAGGTTAAGTGGCTTATTCAGAGTCTCACAGAAGTACAATTTGAGCCTAGGTCTCCCTGTCTCTGAGACCAACTCTCTATCCATTACACCACACACCTTACCTAAATGGAAGATTGCTCAATGACCAATAAATAGCAAGAGCTTTGTTGATATACCTAGGAGAGAATATAAGAATGCTAGATGTCTAGTATCTCACATATAAAGGGTGTCCCAAAAGTCTTAGGGCAGTTTTATGCTCTTTAAAGTAGATGTGTAACCTATTAAAGCTTATTACTGCATTAACATTCCATGTAAAGGAAAGTTGTGGTGTCTGTATAAAAATGAAAGGATGAGTTAGAAATCTAGATCTCATCAATGTTGAAAACTGAAACATCATGTAATAACTTTAGTTTTTTGGAGTGATTTATTTTGTGTTGTTTTTGTGTTTTTCCTGAACATTTATATCTCCTGAACAGTGAATGTTATTGATATAAGAGAATCTCCAATATGAAAGTTTCTTACAATTCTCTTAGCCAAGAGAGTTGTTTGTTATAGTAAGAAGATAAGTGACTTAATCGTAGTCACAAATCTAAGATACATCAGAAGACTTGAACCTGAGTCTTCCTGACTCCAAGGCTAGCTCTCTATCCAGTTATCCATAATGCCTCTCAGAGAATAAATGTGTTTTGTTTTTTTTAAAAGACAGGACTGAATATGGTTTCAAGGACATTACACAGAGAGAAAGGAAAATCCCACTCAGAGCAAGTGAAAAGATAAAAGGGTGAAAGAGAAGATGAATGTAGTAATTATTGAAATGCCATATTAAAATTAATAGAATCAGATTAGCAAGACAGAAATGGAAAAATAAATTATGGCAGAAGTAGCTTTCAGTGTTTTTTTTTAAGGTCTTTCTTAATTACCAAGAGAAAAATGTTTTTCAATAAAATAACATGAGGGTAAATGTGAAAATAAATAAGAAAGGGTTTTAGGAAATGATTCTTATATAGCTACTCATATGGTAACATTATTAAGCTGTGAAGGTATGTCCCTCACCAGCCCAAGTCATTATCTTAGGTCCCATTTGTCATCTATGTCTAAGGACAGTTAGAGTGAGCAGATAAATGAGCTTCATCCATCCTCCGAATTGGGAGAATCCCCTGGGTGCAGTCATTCCCAGGAGGGCTGTGGAGCATCTGTGCCCACCGCAGGGAATCCCTTTTGTCTGTTTTTCACTTTGATTATTTACTTGTGAAGAAGTACTGAAGGAATTCCATTCTGCCTGCTGGATAAGCAACTTGTAAGCTTCCCCCCCCCTTCCTCTCTCCCCCTTCTCTCCCTCTCCCTTTTTCCCCTTCTGTCTGTCTGTCTGTGTGTCTGTGTGTGTGTCTCTCTCTTTGTCTCTCTCTCTCTCTCTCACACAGACACAGACACACACACACACACACACACGCAACAAGGATTACTCTGAAGATGGAGCACAAAATGCTAGATGGAAAATGCAGTTTAGCTAAATGTAAAATATGCTAAATGGACCTGCCAGCAACTTTAAAGAATCCTGAAGATATTTCTATGGACATCTAAAACATGTCAAAATATATGTCAAGATATAAGCTTGGGTAGAGCTAGGTATACTTAGAGAAAAAGATGAGTGTGACTCTCAGTTATATACGTGTGCAATCCACCTCCCCATTTATGACAAATATTTTACTCCTGAATTTCCCCTTGCCACCTAGCATACAATGAGGTCACTTACCCTTATGATCCCTTTCATCAGTTAAAATTGGCTTAATCGACGAAAATCAATAAGAATATTAAGTTAATCAAAACATAATTACAAGGTGCACAGAAATAAAGGCATATTATTTTTATTTTTATTAAAATTAATTTTAAAAATTTTGGTCTAGATCTGTGATTTCTTTAGTGTGAGGAATTCCTTGAATGGAAGGAAACTCCCTCTGAGGCAGCCATCTAACTTAACTGTAACTTAGATTTTTAGAGAGGGCCCCAAGAGGTTGTGACCTGTCCATTATAACATACCCAATATGTTCCAGAGGCAGATCTCAAACCCAGGTCTTCCAAGTCTAAAGGCAGTTCTCTATTCACCATGTCACTCCATCTCTCCCTGTTAGAAATGTCAAGGTAGATATAAATGACTTTCTGCATCTTTTATGTCACTGATCTTTTTTTATTAGTGTGGATAATTGAAAGTCAACTTCCTGATATGACTTGGAGGGGGGGAGAGGAGAAAAGGACAAGATATTAGTCCCTCTCAAAGTAAGTGAAACTGTCATAAACATCACTGAATTTAGTGACCTTGTACCAACCTGTCTGATAATTTTTATTGAACCTCATGGGGAGATTTCTAAGAGGGAGGAAGTTTGACTGAGCCCAGAATGAATATTCCCAGTAAAAGCCCAGTAACCTTCCCATGGAGATTTGAGAAGCAGAACAAGATTTACAAACATCTTAAGAGAAGCTCTGACCCACTTCCATTCGGTGCATAGAGTTCTGTTAGGACTTGAATCAAGGTAGGTTCAGACTTAGGTCAATAGCTAATTAGGAGACCTCTGCAAAATACCTAGATGATTCAGGAAGTGGTATGTAGAAATTCAGTTGACTAGACAAGTAAGAAGCAAATGTTATTCTAGGATGTCAGACTATTAGACTTGAAAACTGGTCAATTAATCAATCAATAGGTGTTTATTAAATACCTCCTAATGCAGATATTGTGCAAGGCACACGTAATACAAAAATAAAAATGAAATGGCCCCTGATAACAAATTGGTTATGTTTCTGAAAGCGATTTAAAAAATATTTAGATTGGTGACAGCCAGTTTTTTTAAAATTTTTGTTATTATTTTGAGATGCCAACATAGGATCAGAGATTTAGAGCTAGAAGGAACCCCAGAGATCATCTAGTCCAAACCCTGATTTTATAGAAGAGGAAAATGAGACCCAGGGAGATGAGACGTGATTTGTACAAGTTCACACAGGTAGCAAGTAGTAGAGGTAAGGTTTGAACCCAGGATCTCAGACTCCAAAACCAGTGTGTGTTGTTCTGTTAAAACAAAGACTAGCATAACATGAGAACAGAAAAAAAAAGCCAGCATCCCACATATGACTTTTAAAAGGTAAGCTCAAGATAGAGGTGGTGGGAAAGCCTCTCTCTACTTAGAAAAAAAGAGCTATGGATCAAATGAAATCTCAGATCCATCAGAATGGAAACAAATTCTAATGTTCAATAAGGTAGAAAAGTTCAATTTTCATTCAAAGCACACTTTCCCCACCCCTTCCAGATTCATATTGCTAAATTAAAACCACCCAAAATCCTAGAGTCCAACTGTGTCTTCTTTTTAGAGGTTTTGTTATGTGAAATTACAAATTTAATTTCCTTTTAGTTTTTGCTATTGAAGAATTTCATCTAACTTAACTGTCTAATACAGATTGTAATATCTCTGGGTCCCAACATTGTTAGAGTAATAAGTAGTTTCTTTTTCAGCAGATGGCTTTCACCAGCAGGAGGCCCAAGTGACAATTGTCATTAAAAAGAAAGAAAGAAAGAAAGAAAAACAACAAAAATAACAACAACAACAACAACAAACACCCTGGTTTGTCAAACACATCCCACTATCTATATGTGGTGAAGAAATTCTCACCACATGAACTCTCCAATACTTGCAACTGAGCCAAAAAGCAAATAGATTTTTTTTCTCCTTTCTTAAAAAAAAAAAAAGCAGCCTTCACAGAATCATAAAATTTTATGGAAATTTTGAAAAGATCTAAGAGCGCATTTAATTCAAGCACTTAAGAAACTAAGAAATGAGGCAAAGAACAGCCTGTTTACCTACTGAGACCGTTAAAGACGTTGGCTTGAAAAGACCAAGGTCCCCCACTGTAGCCTGGACCATCTCCACTTGTCCTGATCTTTATCAGGCCACTGGACCCAGATGACTCCAGAGGAGAAAGTAAGGCTGGTGACTTTGCACAGCCCTCCCTCACTTAAATCCAATTCACTTGCATGTCATGGCATCACCTCCATGATGTCACAGTTCTCTTCGAGAATGAAGGACAAACAACAACAACAAAAAATTGTGAAACTAAGGCCCAGGAAAGCTAAGAAGGTTTGCTCAAGATCACACATTACGTGTCAGAACCACCACTAGAATCCAGGGCTCTTGGCTCTCATGGCTTTCTTTTGACTTTCGCTTTTCCCCTTCTTGGTAAATATAGTATAATAGTTGTGATTTTTAGCATTGTGCTTATAGTCAACATTTTCACTGAATGAAACTGATATTCTAAGTTCCATGATTTTCTCCAAGCTAGAACAAGATACTTCCAAGACCATTGCCTCCTAACATGGATGTCAGGATTCCTCCAATGTGGAACTGGGAAGGGGATAGAAGGGACACAAGCAGTGGTACCGCCAGGGAGTCATAGTTCAAAAGGTTATGGTATCATGGGCAAATCCATAATGGTCTTAGGAGAAATTTCTTCCTGAGACTCCTGGATGTATCTTCTTTCCATGCTTTAGGGAAGCTCTTGGATCAAAGGGGAGGCAAGGAATCTCTCTCAGGTGAGTCTGATTAGTTTCCCATCCTTGAGGTTGCATGGGGATGTCAGTCATCTAGAAAACTAGACATATCTAGCTTCGAAAGGAAAATTCCAGATACATGGGGGCTTCTACAAAAGGGGCAGAGCAGGAAGAAGGGGGTACCAAGTAAGAAGAAAGGATGTAGCTAAGGTTAGACAACTGGTTATATAGAGAAAGACTAGGCCAGAAAAACCAGAGACGCAACACACTGCTTTCCCACAAGTCAAATAATCGTGGTCTGAGAGTCTAACTCCTGTTCTAGCAGTGACTCAAGAAACAAGGCTATAGAAATCTATCCAGAGACTGACCAGACTTTGACATCCAAACACCTAGTTCAGGAAATCATCTGGCTTCTCTAAGACCATAAAGGCTATTGCAAGAGGTACCAATGACCACACGGAAAGCCCCTGTGGAGAATGTGCAGGCATTGTTATCTGCCCTGATTGTCTGTGAGAGCAACAGTGTACATTAGATGCATCAACATATGAGTCAAAACTCATTTGAACACCTAAGGTGTCCTTGATTGAGGCCAAGTGGAAGGACTGTGTACCTGTGGTGCAATGGGTAGAGCACTGAGCCTTGAATCAGGAGGATAAGAGTTCTAAAGCTAGCCTCAAACTCTTACTAGCTGTGTGAACCTGGGTAAGTCATTTAAGTCACCTGTTGCCAGTTCCTCAACTATAAAATGAGCTGGAGAAGGAAATGGCAAACTACTCCAGTATCTTTCCCAAGAAAGCCCCAAATGGAGTTACAAAGAGTCGGACACAGCTGAACGACAACATAAATCAATTGCTAACTCACCTCATTTCTCCATCTTATGCTTATTCTCAGGATTCCTTTCTACTTCATATTCTTTTCAATCTAGTTTCAGAAAAGCTTTGCCTTCTTGCCACATTTTTTTTCTTTCACACATAGTTTGTGATTTTTAATACTCTGAAAAGTGTGAGTTTTCTCCCAACCTCCTCTTTAGGACTTTCCATCATTGGCAACACTCACTTCTTAGGCTGGTACTATTAAATAACCTTAGCTTTTCAATAGGTTTTTGGCTTCCTCAAGAATAAAGCAGGACAAAGCTTGGGTGCCTGCCTTCCATCTCCCCTCTCTTACGCTGCTACCCAAGCATGTGTTTTTTTCCTTTTTCCATTTTTTTTCATTTTAAAAACTGTCTTTCTCCAGGTAAGCACAGATGAGAAGCCTCTCATGAAGCCGCCTGCCAGACTGGAGAAACTTAAGACCAAAAGGGAAACAAATGGGTTCACAATAAGAAATATTGACGAGAAGATGAAGGCAGCAGATGAAAGGAGGAAGGTAACTTCACTCTCACACATACCATAATGAGGATCTGCTCACTAAACTCAGTCCTTCTCACACTTTTCTGGTAGGACTTTGTCCTTTTGAGATAGATCTCCCAGTTTGGATTGAATCTTACAAGAATGCTTGTGTTTGAATAGATTTCACCTTTCTTTTCTTAATTTGTTTTTTAACTTAGGAATAGCATAAAGTAATTCTTAGTTGTTGATATTAGTTTTACCTGAGAGAAGTAGTGTGAGGTAGGAAGCAGAGAACTTGCAGTCAGGAACATCTGGGTCCAAAACCCATTTCTGCCAAACCACTCAATGTCCCAGGCTATGGACTATAAATTGTTGTCATCAGCTGCTGATCTGCATTGGTGCAAGGAGTTTCCTCACCAGAACTTCCTTCCAACAATAGAATTATGGGTACAGGGTGGGAAACCTGTGGCCTCAAAGCCACATGTGTCCCTCTAGGTCCTCAAGTGTGGCCCTTTGACTGAATCCAAACTTCACAAAGTTCACGAAAAGGGATCCCTTTCCTGCTATTTGATCCAAGAGCTGCCCTAAAGCATGAAAAGAAGATACATCCAGGATTCTCAGGAAGAAACTTCTCCCAAGGCCATTATGGATTTGCTCATGATGCCATGACATTCATGAAGTTTGAATTCAGTCAAAGGGCCGCACTTGAGGACCTAGAGGGCCACATGTAGCCTCGAGGCCACAGGTTCCCTACACCTGGAGACTAAGGGGAAAAAATTATGTCATCTATGCAACTTAAGGAAGATGCCACTTTCCTCCATTCTCCCCTCCAAAAAAAAAATAGAATTTTCTTTATGTGGAAGTACTAAGAGGGAAATCTCAGTGCTGTGAATTTTAATTAGGAGACTAGAATTGGAGAAGCACAAACTTTTATGGTACCAGAATTCATAAGTGGAAGGATTGTTGAGTTAGTCACCATCTGAATTTCATTGACACAGGCTGTGCGCTCTTATATCTGCTAGATTCAAACCAGACATTTGGAGCTCTAGTTTTGATGCAAGAGGGATGTCTTCCTGAGGCTTTTACAAAAGCATGGACACATTACCCAGATTTCTGAGACACTGGGCCAGTTACAGCAGGATAGAGGTTCTCCAAGTCAAGTCTAGGGATCCCTGGGGGTCCCTGAGACCATTTCAGGTGGTTTTCAAGGTTGAAACTATTTTCACAATAATACTAAGATATTTTAATTTCTAATATGGTAGATATCAACAGATATAACCTATATAAACAGAACCTCTTTGGGGTCCTCAATAATTTTCAAGAGCATAAAGGGGGACTCCTTTGAGACCAAAAAGTTTGAGAATTGCCATAGAAGATAGATTTGTCCCATCAGACATGTCCCCTCTCACTCTTCTCCCTTGCCCCTAGAACTTTCTGGTTGCTTGAAGAATAAAGAGCTGGCAAAAGCAAAGAGAAGAGAAAAACAGAAATAAGTAAAATTTTAGCTATGAGGAATATGGCCTATTTACGGTGGACCTAAGTCTTCAAGTTCTTGAAGATATATTATAACTTGAGCAGCAATTCACCAAACTAAAAATGAACGAGAAAGAAGGCTCTTTAGCTAGTAGAGGAGGAGGAAGAGAAGGAGGAGAAGGAGGACTGATTAGGAAGAATGTCCTGAATAGGATCAAGCCTGGAATAATTAAGAGATATGATGATGTAGTGAGAATGATGATGTTGATAATGATAATAAAGAATTACAATAATAAACTTGCCATCTTTCATAAACTGACAGATGAGGAATTCCCCTAATACAAATATAAACTTCAAAATACCCTTGAGAGTTCCACAAATAAACTGTACTGAAAGTGAAGCATTATCAAAGACCAAACTGATGCCCAGGATTGCCTGGACATAACAATGATCTATAATGTTTTTAATTGGTTCTGCCATGCCAAAGGCTCATAATCTCCAAACTACATGTATGGAAAAGCTTTAAAAATATAGAGACTGGCAGGGAACATTAAAATGCTGTGGGAATAGGATGTGCTATCCTGCCTGCTATAAGAGTTATCCCAAGTATGCCTTCAGGGAGCATACAGAAGATGAGTTTATATCCCAATGCTTCTATTCCATTACAAAAAACAGTTATTTTATCCAACTTTGCAAAAATAGTCCTTAGAACATTAAATATAAAATAATAACAGAAGGATAGTGACTTGTTGCAGGACAAGAACTTGGTCCCTCTCCTTAGAGAAGGAGTATGGAATAGTGGCTAGAGTAATAGACTTGATGTCTGGGGCACCTGGGTTCAAATACTGCCTCTAGCATGATCTGTAGGAGCCTGAGCAAGTCAGTTAATCTCTATAAGTTTTAGTTTCCCCGTTTCTAAAATGAGAAGGGTAGATTAGATGGCCTTTAAGATCTCTCCCAGCTCCACATCTCTGATTATCTAAAAAAGTTGAATGAATAATGGTAACAGGTTGAATTTGTGAGACAAAAAACTTAAAATTCAACAAAAGTCTTTCCTTTATAATGAAAGAAGTTGTGGAGTCTCCTCATCCAGAGATTTTTGCAGAAATGTGTAGACTGTCTATTGTACTGGAATAACTCAAGGACAGTTCAGCTTGAACAGAGGATAATGGTAATGAATTAGCTGACCTTTGATGCCTCTCCCAGGGCCGTGGTTTTAGAAGTGCTCTTCATCAAGAAGTGCCATCATTCCATTCTCAGAACCTCAGAATTTTATTGTTGCAAGGGATCTTAGAGATCTAGTACACTCCATTCATTTTACAGATGAAGAAACTGAGGCCAGAAAAGTGAAGTGATATACTAAGCCATTGAGCTATACCATGGGAGAACCCTAATCTACCACACTCGAGGACTTTCTTTCTCTGACTCCCACCACCATTTCTACTAAAGAAAAGCAGTTTTTAAAAGGTCTAAGCAGAAACAGCAAACAAATTTTGTTCTGAGAGTATCTCACAAAATCTCAGAATTGGGAGAGCCCTCAGAGGTTAATTAGTCTAACCTCTACTTGACCAAGGAATACACTTTTACATCCGAAACACGTGGTCATCCACCTTTCCCTTGATTACCTTAAGTGAGGAGGGATTCATTACTTCCTAAGCCAGCCTATTCCACTGTTTTACAATTTGTTATTAGAAAGTTTTCCTGACATGTAGTTGAAATCTTTCTGTCTATAGCTTGCACCTACTGCTAGTATGCTGTCAGAGATCAAGCAGAAGAAGTGTAATTCACCTTCTACATCGTAGCTTTTCAGATATCAAAGGCACTATGTGTCCCATACATTGTCTTTTTTGCAGGCTAATCTCCAGAACTTTCAAAGGATTTTATGTAATGGTCTCTAGGCTCTACACCAATCTGACCATGCTTCATTTTGTCATCTCAAAAACTCAAATGGATCTGTGATCTCATATAGGTGTTCCTCTACCAATGTAGACTGATCTCCACTGATGTAGACTGTGACCCATCCATAGCTGTCCATTTTTTGATGACTCTTGTCTGTGGTCTTCCTATGAGTTTGACGTAGGTAGTCTACTGAATATGCTAGGGGCCTTCCTCACTTTGTCTTGGTGTTATGAAGATGCCAATGGAACCCATAAGCTGTCCAATGGTTATTCCCTTGCTCTTTCCATATGACCAACCCATCTTTTTTTTTGCTTTTTCATTTCTTTACTTTGTCAGTATCCTTCCTAAAATGGTAATGACAAGTACCAAATGAATACTTTGTATTAGTTTTCTTTATGACGTTCCAGAGTATAATGTTAATCGGGGGTAGGTAGGGCAACATGCTGAGGCTCTAGAAGGAACCATTCATTCATTTGTCCTACCTTCAACACTGTTCTGCAGGTTAAAAGTGAAGAAATGAAAAAAAGGCTGAGAAGTGAGAGGCCTTTGCCACCAATTGTCCCTTCAAGCACAGCAAAGCTGAGTGAAGATGACACTCCATTTGCCAAAGGATTTGATGCTACAGGCTCTTCTGTGTTTCATCCCTCTGCCATGGAAACAAGAAGGCAAGTGAAAAGGAAAAAAAGCATCGGGAAAGGCAATATGGCTTCAAGTGAAATAAATCAAAGTTATGAAGTCTTTGGGGTTGTGGAGTCTGATGTGCACTACAACACTCCCAATGACGTATTCTGATGCACCAGTGGGCGACTCTATTCAATGTACACTACACATGAGATATTTCACTAATTCTTAAAAAATTAAGCCTTTGCTCTGCCCCTTACTTTCCTCCTACAGAACTTATTACAGTAATTGGTCCAATAACAATGATATGCATTGCTTAACTCCACTGTTAGTACTCAGGGCTACAGAGATTGTTGATGTCAAGATTACTGGTTTCACATCTATGAAGTCCAAAGGAAGAGAAGGAGGAAGGGGAGGGAGGCAGCCCCAGGAGGGGCCCTACTGCCCTACTGCCTGTGGTCAGGAAAGGCTCAGCTAAGCACTTCCCAGCTCAACGCATACTACCACCTGGGCCTTTCCTTTCAATGCTTAGACTTTCTCAAGTGGGTGACAATCGTTCTGAAGGTGTGTTGCAGCTACTGAAAGATAATTAGTGTAGTAGGAAGAGTCCTGTAGTGTTAAGAGAGATTTGGTTTTGAATTCTACCTCTGACACTTTCTACCTATTGGACCATGTACAAGGAGATTAGCCTCTCCAGGCCTCAGTGTCTTCATCTATGGAATGGGGATAGTAATACCTACAATACAAATCTCTCTAGTTGTTGTGAGGACCAAGTGAGATCATTCATTCATTCGTTCATTGAATAATCATTTATTAATCACTCAAATGGGTCAGTCACTGTGCTAGGCACAGAAATAAAAAGATAAAAACAATACAGTCCCTGCCCTCAAGGAGTATCTCTTTTTTTTTGAGGGGGAACAGCATGAACACAGATAATAAATTCAAAGCGTGTAAATATGTCTGACAGGAGAACTCAGAGAATTTAGGATATGCCTTGTGTAAGAGATGGCATTTGAATTAATCCTTAAAGGAAGCTAATAACTTTATGAGTTAGAGATGTAACAGATTTAGGGTACAGAATGAGACACATATTTTTGTATACAGACATCAAGGGAATTTGTTTTGCTTTACTATGCATATTTGTTACAAGTAATTTCTTTTTCTTATTTTTTCCCAATGGGATGGAAGTGCGAGGGAGAGAAAATAAATTTCTCCTTAGTTTTTTTTTTTTAATAGGGGGTGGGGATAAGGATGTGAAATATTGCATGCACTTTCAGATGAGGTCACTGGATTATTAGCTTTTACTTTGTTACAAGAGACTTCTCACAAAGTGGGAGTAATCTTTAAATGTTTTTGATGTGAAAACAAAATGTTTGAAGAAATATTTTTAAAAAGATGGGGAGGAAGTACATTCTAGGCATGGGAGATAGCTCAGGCAAAAACAAGGGGAAGAGAGATGGAATGTTGTAGGTAGGGAAACATTAAAAAAGACAGCTTTGATTTAAATGTAGAGTACATAAAGTGGGACTGTCACTTCTCAAGTATTTTGGTCTCAAGACTCCTTTATGCCCAAAGAGCTCTTGTTTATTGGGTTATAATCATGAATATTTATTTTATGAGAAATTAAAACTGATCATTTAAAAATATTTATTAATTCATTTAAAATAATAACTCCATTATGTGTTAACATAAATAACAAATCTCAATGAAAAATAATATTTTCCAAAACAAAAAACAATTAGTAAGAAGAATGGCATTGTTTTACATATTTTTTTAAATCTCTGTAATGTCTGGCTTAATAGAAGATAGCTGGATTCTCATATTTGTATATGCATTCAATCTGTTGTGTTATGTTGTTTTGGTTGAAGTATATGAAGAAAATCTGCCCCACACAGACATGTAGCTGGGAAAGGAAAGTGTATTTTAATAGCCAAGTAACTTCTTAGTATTATTATGAAAATAATTTTGATGTTGTGGACCCCCTCGAAAGCTCTCAGGAACTCTCTGGGGTCTGTGGACCACACTTGGAGAACGATTTACCTTACCATACTTTATGTTGCTGAAATAGCCAAATGTGCAGTAAGCCTGGAGACAGACTGTGAAGGTCTTTACGCCAAAGAGAAAAGTGTGTATTTTATACTAGAGGCAACTGGAAGTTCTTAAACAGGAAAGTTCTATGTGCCAGATCTGTGCTTTAAAAAGGAGTATCATTTTGTAGCTACGTGGAGGATTGGGTTAGAGAGGGGAGAGACACAGGAAACAAGAACAACCAGGAATCTATTGCAGTAATCCGGGTGAGAGGTGATGACCGTTTGATGCTGTGGAATAAAATAAGCAAAACTTGGTATTTGACTGGATATGAGGAGTAAAGAAGAGGGAATTTGAGGATCATTACCAGGTTACAAACCTAGTTGACCAGAAAGAGGGAAATGAGGAAAAGACAAGGGTTTTATCTGAAAGTTTTGGACTTAATCAGTTTGAGATGGCTATTTGGAAATATTCAGTGGGCAAAGTTGACGATATTGGATTGGAGCTCAGGAGAGATTTTACATATATGTGCATATACACACATGTATGTGTGCATGTGTGCGAGTATGCATATATGTATATGCATATATACACATATTTTGTGTGTATATGCATACATATACATAGTGTGCATCTATATATATATACACACATATGTATATGTGTATGTGATGTGTGTATGCCTGAGAATCATCTGCATAGAGATGATAATTGAATCCCATGATAGCTGATGAAAGAAAAGAGCACTACAAGATAGAACGAAGAGAGGAAAGAGAGGAGAAAAAGGCCTAATTCATTACCTGATGTATACCCATACAAAGTGGGCAAGACATGGATGATGATCCAGCAAGGGATACTGAGGAGCATCCAGTGAAACAGGGACAATCAGGAGAGAACTGTGACATGAAAAATGAGAAAAGAAAGAGAATCCGGGAAAAGGTAATCAGCAGTGTCAAATGCTGCAGCCAGGTGAAAGGGATGAGGATTGAGACAAGGCCTGCAGATTTGTCCATTGAAATATTGTTGGTAACTGTAGAAATGGCAGCTACAGAAATGAAGGAAATGAATGAAGACAGATTTTTCTAGGAGCTTAACTGTGAAAGGGAAGAGGACAGTAGGTTAAGGGGAAGTAATGTGAAGTTATCTAATATTTTATTTTGTTTTATTCATGGGCAGTGTATGCAGCTGATTTGGAAACTAAAAATTAGTGAGCATCAGTCAACAAGTATTTTTTACTCACTTAACATGAGCCAAGCACTGTGCTAAGCACTGGGGATACAAAGAGAGGCAAAAGGCAGTCTACACTCAAGGAGCTCACACTTTTTTTTTAGGCAATTGGGGTTAAGTGACTTGTCCAGGGTCACACAGCTAGTAAGTGTCAAGGGTTTGGTCTGAGGTCAGGTTTGAACTCAGGTCCTCCTGACTTCAGGGCTGGTGCTCTATCCACTGCACCACCTAGCTGCCCCTGGGAGCTCACATTCTAATGGGGAAGACAACATGTGAACAACTACATACAAGTAAGGTGTAGATAAGACAAACTAGAGACAACCAAGAGAGGGAAGGCACTAGCATTAAGTGAGAACAACCAGCAAAGGGATCTAGTATATTAAACCAATACTAGAAGATGGGCCTGAGTAAAGGTAACAAGTCTCTGGAGATGGGATCAAGAGCACAAGTGGAGTCATCCTCACTGTTTCTTCTTCATCAGAGACTGGAATAAAGGAGGAGAGAATGGTACAATCCAGGGTTGGCATTTGGTAAGGTATGTGTAGCAATAGGCAAGGGGTAATACCTCTAAAGGGCTTTGTTAACAGTAAAGGGCTGCGTAAATATTAGTTATTAATGTGATTATTACTATTATTTTTATTCTTATTGGAACCTTGAAATCCATCCAGTTACCAACAAATCATTCTAGGATACTTCTACAAAATAATAGCAAGCATTTATTTAGACCTTTAAGTTTGCAAAGCACTTTACCTATGCTATCTCACATACTAGTCCTCACAACAAGCTTCTGAGATGGGTGTCATTTATTATCCTCATTTTACAGATGAGGAAACAGAGGCTCACAGAGGTTAAGTGACCTTGCTTGGTCATACAGAGTATAAAGGTCTAGAGTGAGATTTTAATTCAGCCCTGCTTGACTCCAACTCTCACACTGCCATACCACATCGCTGCCTCTGGTCCATAGTTCATACATGACTTGGACATAGGTTTTTTGTTTGTTTCACCAACACACCTTAGAACCCTGTAAGCCTGTTGTGGGCAATAACGTGATACATTTTATATAGTCTGTGGAATGAGTCCAATCACTGTTGCACAATAACAATGTTAGCTGACTCCCCATACAAGTGGATGTATCATAGGTGTGCTATTTAAAAGATCTGTTGTTGTTTTATTCCAGTACTGGGGAACAATAAGTAGCCTTTTCAGAATGATGCCTGGTAATGGCATTTATCCATTATGGAAAATGGGATAATGGCTGGAACAAATTTTCACACTGGAGGGAGTAGAACTTTGAGCTGTGAGTATGGAGATTCTGAATTTCTTTATTTATTTTTTAAAGGCCTGCTAAACTTAAAAAAAAGGAAAGGAAAGAAAAACAGGAACAAATGTATGTTTGTTGTTGTTTTTAATCTGGAAAATACAAACAAAATAATGGCTGTGCAGGTGGCGCAGTAAATAGAGTGCCAGGTCTAGAGTCAGGAAAACCTGAGTTCAAATACAGCCTCAAACTCTTGCTAGCTGTGTGACCCTATGCAAGTGACTTAACCCCGTTTGCCTCAGTTTTCTCATCTGTACAATGAGTGGACTAGACATAAACCCTGAATTTTCTTCCTGCTCTACATCTGTGATTCTGTGATCTGTGACCTAAATTATAAGGTCATTTCACTGTTAACATCACTGACTTGAATCCCTCCATGTTTCATGTTGGAATTGGGGACCATGAAGAATAAAAATGCCTTAAAGGAAACTAAGTGTCCTCATCTGAGAACTGAGAATTTCTATTGGAAAGAAATTGTACAATCATCCGTGGACTTCCTGCTTAGTACAAATGATGGGAACAAGAACCATAAACTATGTTTTGACTTTGCATTTAAAAGGGACCTTTTTCTTGCTTGCTTCTTAAAGGAGAACAAAAT